CTGAGCTCAGTGAGATTATAAAACTGAGCTCAGTGAGATTATAAAACTGAGCTCAGTGAGATTATAAACCTGAGCTCAGTGAGATTATAAAACAGATTTTGTTTAATCGCTCAGGTTTGACTCTGACGCGGGACATTTCCCTCCTCCTTTGTTCCGCTCTCTTTCACCTGCAGGTGCTGGAAGGCAACAAGAACACCTTCGCAGTTTTCTCCAACGATCTCAAGCCTCCGATCATCGCCCGCTACGTCCGCGTGATCCCCGTGAGCAGACTGTCCAGCACCGTCTGCATGAGACTGGAGCTGTACGGCTGTCCCTGGGATGGTAGGACGCACACACACACACACACACACACACTTGTGTTTATCCATCGTCTGCTCTCACCACGACCCGCTCCAGCTCTGCTCGGGTCTACGTGTTCTCGATGGTTGTCGGTATAACTTGAGATGGATGTGGGCGAGAACGTCACGGCGCATCATTCCAGGACGGCACCTTCTATCCAAGGCAGACACAACTCAGCAATGATCAAAGTGGTCACATAAGATCAAAAAACACTCGCCGTCTTCTGCCACGGCTTCCAACCATCGATGTCGAGTCAACGCCGCCTTCCCTTCGTCGGTCGGAGCTTAAACCAAGTCCATCTGGTCTCCGTCTGATTTCAGTCTTCAGCCAACAAGCACAGAAACACACGCACCTCGTCAGCGTACCGCCATGTTGGCTTATATGTTGCCATTTGGTCGAATATATTATATATTTTAAAAAATAATAATTTATTTGTAAATGTTGGTTTGAATCTTGTGAAGGAGACACTCTCATGATTGACGTCTCTCTGGCCAATCATCAGTCTGCTGCCGTCAATTCTTCAACGCCACTCGGCTCGCTTAGGTCCTCAACCCAAAAACCAAGCTGGAAGTTTGGGAGGGGGGGGGGGGCAATGAAAAGATACTGAACCCCAGCCAAGTCAACCCAGGTGGTGCCGAGTCGAGCCCATGGAAAAAGGCCAAAACACCCGAACACGTCAACAGAGTGTTCTGCTACGTTCAGTTTTTATTCAGTGGATTTAGACTTTTATCATTTCTGATGTTTCCTTCAGAAAACTAGTTCTGTTTTACATTTCTTATGACACTTTAGCTTTTGGCTAGCCTTTTGCTGCTTTTAGCTTTTGGCTAAATTCCCATACAATGGCGAAATTGGCTCTGATTTTAACCCATCCACCAGCAGGTGGAGCGGTGGGCAGCTATGGAAAGCTCCCGGAGAACAACTGGTGATAAGGAGTCCTGCTCAGAGACACCACAAGATGTGCAATGACTGGGGATCGAACCCAGGACCTTTGGGTCCTGAGTCGGCTGCACCATCTCAGCCCCCTTAGCTTTTGGCTAGCCTTTTGCTACTTTTAGCTTTTGGCTAGCCTTTTGCTACTTTCAGCCTGCATTTGCTACTTGTAGCCGATAGCTACTGTTAACAGTTCAGTTTGTTCTTCAGCAAATTCCATAGAGACCGTAGTTTGACCCTATTGGTTAAAAGAGGTGTCAATCAAAAGGGGAGGGCCTACACAGCGTTTTAGACTCTGGTATTTAATGTGAAAGTCCTTGTGGACTTTAGTAGTCTCTGTAGTCTAGTCTAAGCCAGTAGGGCCCGTGGGTTTTGGTCCTGTTTGTGGTGTCTCCAGACAGAACTTTGATCTTTTCATCAGGAGAACTCAAAGTGAGCGGAGGAGCCGCTCGTAATAATCCAAACGTTCCTTTGCTTTCTGCAGACGGTCTGATCTCCTACAGCGCTCCTGCGGCCAGCTTCAACGACTCCACGTACGACGGAGTTCTGGACAAAAGGTTGGTCCCTCCTGGTCCTGGTTCACATCAGGGACTTCAGTGTCTCAGGTGTCTTGTGTCTCACAGCTGTCTCGCCCAACAGGAAGCTGACCGATGGCCTGGGTCAGCTGACGGACGGCGTGACAGGCCTGGACGACTTCCTGTTGAGCCGTCAGTTCAACGTGTGGCCGGGATACGACTACGTGGGCTGGAGGAACGACACGCCGGGAACTCTGGGATACGTGGAGATGGAGTTTGTGTTCGACCAGCCGAGGAACTTCACCTCCATGAAGGTTTTTAACGTCTGCTTCCTTCACAACGTCACAGTAACTCAGAGGGTTTGAACTTTTACTGAAGTTCAACCAAAAACATGGAAATCTAAACAAAGTTTGTCCAACAGCTGAACATTAACAAAGGTCTGCGGCTCGTTAGGGCAGCACGGTGGATCAGTTGGTAGAGCTGCTGCCTCTCAGAGAGCAGGTCGCACCGGTTCAAATCCCAGTCCAGGGGTCTTTCTGAGTGGAGTTTACATGTTCTCTCCATGCATGTGTGGGTTTTCTCCGGGTACTCCGGTTTCCTCCTACGGACCAAAAACTTGCATGTTAGACTGATTGGTAACTCTAACCTGTCCCCAGATGTCTCTACTTCTTCTTTGTGTCTCTTGGTTTCATTTTGTCCTGAGTCTGAGACACTGTCCCCTTGAGGCTGTCCTGAGTCTGA